TGTGTCTATCCTTATGGCAAACCATAATCTTAGTTCCTGTAGCATAATGTTAAGCCTTGAAATCAGGTAAAGTCCTYCAACTTGATCTTTTTCATAAATGTTTTGACTACTGTAAGTCTTAATATGTAAAATGATCATAAACAGTGATCAAATGCAGTTTATCTCAGGAGTACTATATTAATCAGCATTTGAAAGTCTATCAATATACATTACCTTCTCAATAAATTAAAAAAGAAAAATCATATAGTCACCTCTGTAGATACAGAGTAGCTAAACTCAACATCCATTCATGGTAAAACTCAGCAGAATGGTGTAAGAGTATTTACAAAAGCTTACAGATAATAGTAATGGTGAAAAATTTGAGTGCTTCACCCTTAAGATGAGTAACAAGGCAAGGRTGTCAGCTCTCAGCATTGCCTTGGAGATCCCAGCTAGCACAATGACGCAAGAAAAAGAAAATACAGATTAGAAATGATGAGCTAATTATTGCCTGTTTCAACTAATTATCACCTTTATTTGTCTATTAAAAAAAATAATTTCAAAAGTATCTCCAAAAAAGCTGCTAGAACTAATACATGAGTTTAGTAAGGTTGGGGAATACATGGTTGATATACAAAAACGAATTGCTTCTGATGGTGATGAATAATTGGAAATTAGATTTMAAAAAACTGGAATTTAGAATAGTGTCCAGAATTATGAGATATTTAGGCATGCACTGCATAAAATATGTGCAAGATTTTTATGCTGAAAACTATGGAACACTGCTGAGAAATAGTAAAAGAAGACCTGAATAAATGGTGAAAGATGTCATATTAATGGGTGAGAAGACTAAATATTGTTATGTCAGTTCTCTAAATTTATCTGTAGATTAAATCCATTCAGGATCCTAGTAGTATCTTTAAAAGTATCTTTAGAAAAAAGGATTGACTAAAGTTGGATCTATAATRAAAAGAAAAAGGCAAAGTTTTGTTTTAAAATATAAATTGGCAAACATTCTAAAATAATTTCAGAAAATTCTCCCACCTTTAGTCACAAAAGCTAATATAGATTTAGTATTAGGTGTTTAAAAACATTTTATATGTATTAACTCATTTAATCTTAAAAACAGTGCTGTGATATACTATTAATCCCATTTGCCAGATTATGAATAATGTGAGGTTGAGTGGCTTAACTAAGGCTGAATTCTAACATAGGCTGGCTATTGCCTCTTCTATTTCAATTTTTTTTTCTAATTACTGACCACTTTGGTTCACATAAAGCTGAAGTTATAATCTATGATGTGATTTCATTTAAGTGGAAGTTTAGATATGCAAGACTCAAAGTCAGCTACTATTTCCACTGATGTGTGGAAGAAGGGTAATGGTGAGGTAGTTGGTGAAGACATGCATGATGGTTAGTGTATTAGGATTCTCTAGAGAGAGAACCAATATATAGAGAAAGGTAAGTGAGAAGGGATTTATTAAGGGGATTGGCACTGACAATAATGCAGTTTAAGAAGCCCCACAATATGGGTCTGCAAGCTGGAGAATTGGGAAGCCAATAGCGTGGCTGAATCTAAGGCCAAAGAACCCAAGGCTAAAGGCCTGAGAACCCTGGGCATTGCTGGTATAAGCCCTGGAGTTCAAAGACTGGAGGACCTGGAGTTCTGATGGGAGAAGGTTGGGGGTGGAAAGTTGCCTTTCCTCTGTCTTTTTGCTCCTATTCTTAACCCTTCCCTTTGCACAGCTGATTAGATTGTTTCCACCCATATTGAGGGCAGATCTAACCACTACTTGATCCGTGGACTCACATGCAGTTTTCTCCAGCTACTTCCTCACACATACACTCATAAATAATGCCTTATTAGCTCAGTAGGTATTTCTCAATCTGGTCAAATTTACATCTAAAATTAATCATCACAGTTAGTATTCACATTACTTTTTTTTTTTTTTTTTTTTAGTGGTACTGAGGATTAAACCCAGGGGTGTTGTATCACTAAGCTATATTCCAAGCCCTTTTTATTTTTCATTTTGAGACTAAGATCTCACTAGGTCACCAAGGCTAGCCTCAAATTTTAACAGTCTCCTTTCTCAGGCTCCYGAGTCACTGGGACTATAGGCACACTCCACTGTGCCTTGTTTCACCTTGGAATTCAATTTCATTTGTATGTTGATTTCATGTGACAATTATTTGTTGTCTTTTATAAGTTGCTGTTCTTTAAAAATATAAGAAAGAGTTGACTAAGATTGGGTATATAATGGTAAATACATATTTTTATAATTTATATATGGCATTAATTAGCATAGTGTTATAGTAGCTTACTTTCCAAATTAAAAATCAGAAATGTTATTCCTTTTTGGATATGAAAAATCAGTCCATGAAATACATAAAGACTTTGAAATTTGGAATTTCCATGCTACAAAATAACTTTTTAGTCTAACATCAAAATCACATCTGGAGCTTTTTAAAAACTACTCATGTTCCTCTTTCCCATTCTCATTCAATGAGCAGTTATAAATCAGAGTGCTCTAAAGATAGCTCTATGTTCATCTTAGTTGAGAGCCCCTAATTTATAGAATCAGATTTTGGACCATGTTAAAAAGTTGACACTATATGATCACCAAGATCATATAGGATTCTTAGTTCTCATAAATGATGAGCACAACAGATATCTGCTGTGCAGTCATTCTTGCTTATGTGAGTACTTTCCCCTCTCTTTATTTATTTATTTTTTTTTTTACTGTGTTATTGGGTCAAACTTAGTTGTACGATAGCTCTAAAAGTCTATGGTTCACTATATACAGAACCACTCTACCTCTGTCCTCCTCAAAGGACTTTAAAGGTAATGGGACAGTTTTTTTAAATTATTTGGATATTTTGGCATTTTCTATCTCACCTATTATGTTATTTGTCATTGGTTGAATAACAGATGCCTGAAGCTTTCAGACAAGAAGGACAATTTAGGGGGATCTCAACTAATATTAACATTAGAACTATCATCTAGTGTTGGTTCCAGTTGTATTCTAAGTAAAATTAAGTTCATGGAGGAGGATTTGACTTGCCCAAAATAGTGCAACCAATTTATAGGTAAATAAATTTAGAGCCCAAACGATTATTGTTAAAAAGCAGTTTTTTCATGTAATTTGAATTATTTAGAATTTATGTTTTACAATATTGTATTATCTGATATTTCATAAATTATCTTTTGCTGTTTCTTAATTTCCTTTAAAATAGAAGAACCCAAATAATATTGGTCCACAGTTAAGAAAATCTTGATGCTATATCTTAGAATTAAAAAGGAGTCTGCCTTTTTACCCCTTGCACATCAGATAGAGCACTAATCTTTAGGGTATATAAAGAACTCAAAAAGCTAAACACACACACACAAAAAATAATCTAATCAATAAATGGGCCAAGGGAGGGGAGGGGGGATAGTAGACAATAGGACAGACAGCAGAATACATCAGACACTAGAAAGGCAATATGTCAATCAATGGAAGGGTAACTGATGTGATACAGCAATTTGTATACGGGGTAAAAGCGGGAGTTCATAATCCACTTGAATCAAACCGTGTAATATGATGTATTAAGAACTATGTAATGTTATGAACGACCAATAAAAAAGAAAAAAAAATAAATAAAATAAATGGGCCAAGGAACTGAACAGACGTTTCTCAGAAGGTGATATACCATCAATCAACAAATATATGAAAACATGTTCAACATCTCTAGCATTAGAGAAATGCAAATCAAAACTACTCTAAGATTTCATCTCACTCCAGTCAGAATGGCAGCTATTAAGAACACAAACAACAATAACTGTTGGTGAGGATGTGGGGAAAAAGGCAAAATGGTGCAGCCAGTATGGAAAGCAATATGGAGATTGCTTGGATACCTGGGAATGGAACCACCTTTTGACCCAGCTATCCCTCTCCTTGGTCTATATCCAAAGGTTTTAAAAACGTCATACTACAGGGACACAGCCACATCAATGTTTATTGTAGCACAATTCACCGTAGCTAAACTGTAGAACCAACTTCGATGCCCTTCAGTAGATGAGTGGATAAAGAAAATGTGGTATGTGTGTGTGTGTATGTGTATATATACGCACACACACACAGTATTCACATTATACATACACACACACACATACATACACAATAGAATATTAATCAGCAATAAAAGAGAATAAAATCATTGCATTTGCAGGTAAATGGATGGTGTTGGAGAATATAATGCTAAGTGAAGTTAGCCAATCTCAACCCAAATGCTGAATGTTTTCTCTGATATAAGGAGGCTGATTCATAGTGGGTTGCGAGTGGGAGCATGGGAAGATTAGAAGAACTCTAGATAGGGCAGAGGGGAAGGGAGGGGGCATGAGGGTAGAAAAGAGGATGGAATGAGATGGGCACCATTACCCTAGGTACATGTATGAAGATACAAATGGTGAATATACTTTGTATATAACCAGAGATATGAAAAATTGTGCTCTATATGTGTAATATGAATTGCAATGCATTCTACTGTCATATATAACAAATTAGTATAAAAATTTTTTTWAAAAAATAAGTCTGCCATCAGTTGATTTTTGTCAACATGCTATAGAAATTTCCTTTATGATAATGTAGTACAGGTTTTTGTTCCATGAGTCATACAGGAAATGTAGTCAGTATAAAGATATACAATTCTTTGGCTTCCTTTTTTTGCTTATTGTAGAAATGTTTTAGGTTTTTCCATTCAATTGAATGGGAAAGTACTGGGGAATGATACTGACCAAATTATATTGGTAACATGTGCATGTGCCAAATGTAATAACTAATCCCACTCTTTTTTATAATTAATTATAAGTGAACCAATTAAAAATGTAAAAAAAAAATCCTGGGATATAATTAAGCAGACTTTATTTTTTTATTTTTTTCTAAAAAAGTTTCTTGTTTCAAGTTTCTTCTTTTTTAATGTTACGTCAACAATATATTTTTAATAAACTTAATTCTCTTTGTTTTCTCTTCAATGAATTTCAGTTAAAGAGAAATTGACTGCCGATCCAGACAGTGAAATAGCTACTACCAGCCTAAGGGTTTCTCTTCTATGTCCAGTAAGTGTTAACTGATACTTGTTTTCAGGAAGATTTAACATACATACATGTACCTTTTTTTTTTTTTTTTTTTTTTAAATGGTGGTACTGGGGATTTAACCCAGGGACACTATACCACTGAGCTACATCCCTAGCCTTTTTTATTTTTTATCTTTAGCCAGTGTTTCTCTAAGTTGCTTAGTCTGCCTTTAACTTGGAATTCTCTTGCCTCAGCCTCCTCAGTTGTTGGGATTTGGGGCATGCACCACCATGCCTAGCACATTTCTTCTTTTTAATTAGGTGCTTCCTATATCTGAGAAATTTTTTACTTTTAAAATCTGACCACCTTTGTTATAGTTTATAAAAACTGGAAAGCTATCAAGGCATAGGATTTGGAATCTAAACAAGTCTAAAAAATTCTCTCTACCCTTAGTAAGACTTGTCTAAATATTGCTTGTGATTAATGACTATCTCTCAAGTTCATGTGTAAAATCTCAAAATAAGGAAGTTTATTGTATTGGGGTATTTATTAAAACTTGCACTTTAATAATACTCTTCTGAATAAAAACCTAGCCATGATTACCCACACATCCAACTTAGCCATTTTTGCCTCACTATTCTACTCAGCCTAAATAATTGAAGTTTTATTTATATATTTTAAAAAAACCCTAGGAATATGAGGTCAGAATGAATCATTTGTATGAAATAAATGTATGGTCCTAAGATATAAACAAGCTATTAAACCCATGGAGGACAAGTCTTAAGAAAATGTGTTGTTAATGTTTATTTCTGAACTAATTTGTTAGGTCTACCAACAGTAGGGATGATAACTGTAGAATATGGCTTCGTATGAAAATATTTGAAAAATTAATAGTAAATTACTTTGACATTTTGATTACCTTTTGTTCTATAATTAATCAAATTAGTCATATCTACATTTGGGAGCAAGTATGAAGAATGTTTTTTGAATTCCCTGAATTGTTCAGGCAGGGCTGATATTGAAAGCTTTTGATAATGACATCCTGCTAACTTAAGATGATGAAGTTACTGATTTCCTTTCTACTCTCTTTGTTGTTGTTGTTGTTGTGCTGGGGATTGAACCTGGGTCTTGTGCATTCGAGGAAAGCACCCCACCAATTGAGCCATATCCCCAGTCCACTGAATTCCTAAAGGAACAAAGAACTTACAGAGAAATTAAATGATATTTGTCCTATGTCTCAGTCTTTTATGATTTATAAAAGCTTAAACAATATAAAAAAGTCATTAGCTCATGAATTAGTTTATGATACTATACATAGCTTTTTAAAAAAAAAAAAAACTTTTTGGAGGGAGGGTTAATTGCTAAGGGAATTCCTCCTTGTTATAAACTTTTGTAAGTTTATTTGCAAATATCCATCATATTCTAAAAAGGGAAAGTTGGTAATCACAAGATTTGAAACTCAGCCTCTCCCCTGATATCAAGTTTGAGAAAATAGGTATATTTAAAGTTGAGTGATCATTTTTAAAGATCAGAAATGTGATTAGCACATAATAGTACAGAGGAAAAAAAAAATACAGTGAAGAAAGTAAAAGCCCTCAAATTCTTGGTGCACACCTGTAATCCCTGTGGAGGCCAAGAAAGGAGGACTACAAGTTCAAGGCCAGCCTCAGCAGTTTAGCAAGACCTTGTCTCAAAGTTAAAAAGGGCTGGGAATGTAGCTCAGTGGTAGCACCTCTGGTTCAGTAAACAAACAAAAAACACCAATCATCTTGAATATATTCTTTCTATAACTTTTCTTCTTATTCCTCTTAATAACCAGTCTTAGGGAAGCTATATTGCCTCCAAGTTTTTAATATTATTGTTTAAAATTATATAATTAAATAACAATATAAATGTTGTAACAATCTATGTTGTAAAGGAAACTAGTATTTTCTTTTTTAACATTTAGAAAATTGAGGGCTGGGATTGTAGCTAAGCAGTAGAGCTCTGGCCTAGCAAGTGGGAGGCCCTGGGTTCGATCCTCAGCACCACATATAAATAAGTAAATAAAAAGAAAGGTATTGTGTCTGACTACAACTAAAAATAAATATTTAAAGAAAAAGAAAAAATTGATTCACAGACGAGAGGAGTAGAGATGGGAAAATGAAAGTTTTGAAGATTTTATATACATCTTTACCTATCTATTTATTCTCTTCTCTTTTCTCCAAATCCTGATTCATCCATTCCTGCTTCCATAGTTCCTTGCCACCTCATTTCATTGTAAAGCTGGCCCACTAAATTATCATTAACATTCTCTAGTAATATGGGAAAAGAACATGAACTATAAAAAATTCCCAAGTAATACTTCCAAAGTTTATACTGGAGTGCTTTAGAGAATAGATAAATTTAGAAAAGAAGGTAAGTTTTATTTTCCATTTAAATCCCTGAAGAAAGTCTTGTTTTTCTGCATTCTCACTTTAAAAGTATTTACAGTTATGCTAATATATGTGATATTTATAACATTTAACACTTACATAAATCATTTATTCATATAAAGCACTCCAGTATAAACCTTGGAAGTTTTATTTGTGGAATTACTTGGGAATTTTATAGTTCACGTTCTTTTCCCATATTATTAGAGAATGTTAATGATAATTCAGTGGGCCAGCTTTTAATTTTTCTTCCTATATCCCCCCACTCTTCTCTCTTTAGTTCCAAAAGCTTTAGTAGTTTTTTAAAAATTCAGATTATAGAAAAAAGAACTATATATATAGTCTGTAATTATTATACTTTCATGAGTTTCTATTTAGTTAAAGGGATAATCTCTTTATAGTTGTTCAAGAACAGTAAGGCCATATGTTTTAGATGTTTTTACCCAAAAATAAAACAGCAAAGACAACTCATTTATAATTCAGATTTATAGAATAAAAATGATGATTTGTTCCCTTTGAAGTATGGAAATCTGTGGCTCACTATTAATTTGAATGGCCCTTGTTGTGATATGCAGAGCCCCAAATAAATGAGCTTCCCTTTTTGGTGTACTAAAGGCAATGAAAATAAATAAAAATGTTTTTGCTCTTTGAGAATATTTTGGTTCTGATTTATTAGCAATAGAGCTGGACAAATCACCTATTTTGGGGGACCTTAACCAGACCTGTAATCTCAAATATAAATGACACAGTTGATAGAAGGAAAACAAAGAAACAAAAACTCTGAACATTTATTTATGAAGTATTTATTATTATGAAAAAGGTGGAAAGTTTTCTTTAATAGCTTTCTTTCTTATTGTAAAAAAAAAAAATACTGATATTTCTAGACTGTGTGTGAACGTGCACATGTATATGTGCACGGTACTGGGGATTGAGCCAGTGCTTTACCACTGAGCTACATTGCCAACTCTCCCCACACACACTTTTTTTTTTTTTTTTTTAAGATACCATCTCACTAAACTGCCCAGGCTGGCCTCAGCTTTGACATCCTCCTGCTTCAACCACCTGAGTAGCTGGAATTACAGGTGTGTGCCACCAAGCCTGGCCCTAGGCTTCTTTTGAGAAAAGCTGGTTAGAACTTKTATCTAGAGTGTTTTCTCTTGGAATAGCATCAGTTGTAGTGTAGCACTATTGGGAGTAAGGTAAATGGCACAAGAAAACATATGGAAATTGTTTACAAAATTTTTTATTTGCAAATAATGCAAATATTCGGTGTTCTATAAAGGGAAAAAGGAAATCTGTAATCACAAGGTGAAGGTAGTCAAACCTCAGCATCTCCCCTTGTATCAAGTTTGAGAAAACAGGTGCCTATTTATCAGATAAATATTTAAAGTTTAGTGACTTTTTAAAAATCAGGAATATGAGAATTATCACAGTGCTTATTTTATGTTTCTTTGAAGCAAGGCATTTGTGAGCTAGATTGGAGGTTCTCTCAGTGGAGCACAGCTACTTTTATAATCCTAATACTGTGTAACTGGTATTACTCCTGTGTCATAAGTTTATAGCTTGTTCAAAGGCCCTTTTTAGTCCTTCATCACTACATCCATTTGAAGTAAGGAGGAAACAGTGTTACTTTAGAGATAGAGAAGGAAGCCCAGAAAGGTTAAGTGCCTTTCCTAGAGGCACAGTAAATCATTGGTACCAGAACAATAGTTAGTGCCTCAAATGACAGTTAATTTCCTTGGTAGACTAGGAAATTGCACATTTTCCTGAAATTTTTCTAAGCCAGGAATAACTCATATTCCTCATTTATTCTCAAGCCTTTATATTTTCAAGCTCACAAATATATGGAAAATCTTTTCTAGTTACTTGGCAAATAATGTTATCAGTGAAAGAAGATAACTTCTATACTGTGTGGTCATTGTGGGCTTTGTGGACCCCAAGTGCTACAAGGTGGCCTCCAGTGAAGAAAGTTGTGATATGCCAGCTCCCTGTACAGGTTTCTGGGCCACATCTCTACARCTAGCAGCTCAGGAACAGATGAAGTAGATTTCTTTGTACATAGCATAGATTCAGCCTATGAATGAACTCAGGCAACAATTGCAGGGCAGGAAGGAAAGTCTCCTAACCTGCTGGAGGTGCTGGAGACACATCTGAATTGCTGGTAATATGCGCACTGAAGGGAGAAATACAGAATACACACATATACTTCCTCCTCAGAGTTGTCATGGAGGAGAGTGGGTGATACTGATTTGAGTTTTGTCCTTTGAAGTACTCTCATTCAGAGTTGAGGTTGATAGTAAATATTGCATCTAATTACATCATATGGTGACATGCAGTATCTAATAACACATTCTTTTTTCCTTTTTCTAACCCCTAGTTATGTGGTTAACTTTTTCTTAAATTAGGGAATTTGAGATGTGTGGGGGGTCCAATCCCATAATCCCAGCTACTGAGAAGACTGAGGCAGTAGGTTCACAAATTTGAGTCCAGCTTGGGCAATTTMGTGAGATCCAACAAATTCAGTAATAATACAACAGCAACAAACTTTGTTGTAGTTTCCTTAGTCATTGTATTTGGTATTCAAAGAAATTGTAATTTTTTGACCTACAGATAAGTTTCACAGAAAATGTGGTTATTAATGTTCTTTTACCTCGATAAAAAATAAAGCCAGCGGCTTGGGAGGCTGAGGCAGCAGGGTGGCAAGTTCAAAGCCAGCCTCAGCAACTTAGTGAGGGCCCAAGCAACTCAGTGAGACCCTGTCACTAATTAAAATATAAAAAGGGGCTGGGGATGTGGCTCAGTGGCTAAGTGCCCCTGGGTTCAATTCCTGGCACAAAAAAACAAACACAGTATGCTTTAGGTCAGAACACAAACACAGTCTGTTTTAGAAAATTTTTTAATCAGAGCTTAAGTTTTGAACAACAGTTGTCTAATACTTTTTCTTCTCTTTTAAAGCTTGGTAAAATGAGGCTAACAATTCCATGTCGAGCCCTTACATGTTCTCATCTGCAATGTTTTGATGCAACTCTTTATATTCAAATGAATGAGAAAAAACCAACCTGGGTTTGTCCTGTCTGTGATAAGAAGGCTCCATATGAACACCTCATCATTGATGGGTATGTCACTTTTAAGGCTTTTTTTGGTACCTTGAAATAATCATCTATTACCTAGATTCATTACTTGTCAGGTTGGGATAAAAAAATCTAAAATTCTRAAAGTAATGTTTTCTAAGTTATAAGTTTGTAGAATACCCATGATTTTAAAGATCAGTATTTTAAAAATCAATAATTAAGTATTTTTAACTTGATGTCTGCTTGTTTTGAAAACACATACTTGTCAGTGCCTCCTGATGTTTACCAATTAAAGCACCTGTGGTTCTAAGCAGGGAATGCATATACCTTTTCCTAACATGAGCTCATCTATCTCCAGAACATGCAGACCATATTGGAGAAAGCATGAAAGAATTGTGAAATTCTGGCACACTCAAGCTCATCGAAAACTGTGCTTTTTAGTACAAAAGCCTGTTTCTGGAGATTAGGTCGAACTTCGAACTTCAATCATGGTCCATCATACCTATTCTCCCGCTGTAAAGGCTCCTACAACTGATCAACACCCCAAATAACAACTTCCTTTGTTTTTCTATTTGTATTTCTATTCTTGTCTTTTCCTTCTTTCAGTTTTCTTTTTCTTTTTTGTCTTGTCCACCTATTGCATCACAATAATAATTTTCTTTAACACTCCTGTTTTTGTCTGTTGTATCGGACATCTTAGTATGATTGTATAGCTTCCTTTAAAACAAACATTTTCTGTACTCTCCAGCAAAACTTAAAACAGCTTATTTATAGTATTTAAGAAAACACAGGAGTCTAAAGGTGATAATAGAAATGGAATATATTTATCAATGCAGTTGTAATTTAGAAGGTGTAGTCATTGGAAAAAATATGTAACATAAATGTTTTATGTTTAATTTGTCAGAATTGGCAGTGATCAATAACTAGTAAATATGAGTTGAATAGTAATATTTTACCAACTCTATATGTTGTATAGTTTTAGGTTCCCCCTTTCTTGTAATAAAGGAGACACACACACACACACACACACACACACACACTCTCTCTCTCTCTCTCTCTCTCTCTCTCTCTCTCTCTCTAAGAAAAATTGAAAAACACAAGAAATCAAGAACTTTTTTTTGGTATATAATTTTCTGGTTTGTTTTTACATAATTGTGATTATATGCTATTAATAATTTAGCATTGTAACCTAAGAATTTGATCATGATTAATTTTGTACATTCCCTGTAAATATCATTTTAAATGTCCACATATATTATTAAGGACAATATTCAGTTACATATTTTTATATGTATTGCTTTGGTTTATCAAGTAATACATGCCTATTGTAGGCGATTTGGAATGTGTTAAAAGATATACTACTTTACAGAATTTTGTTTATAAAATGCAAATTTTTTCTTGGCCTTTTTTCACTTTTTAATCCATGTTATTAATAATCTTTGACAATGTAATTTTTTATGGTTACATGATATATCCTTATATAAATATACCACAATTCAGATAGCTATTTTTTTATTCAGCATTATATTTTGAAAACAAATATAATTTACCTGTTCTATTTTGTTTTTCCTCATTTATACTTGTATAAATATAGACATTCTGAATATTAGAACAGTAATATTTCAAATCTATCTTCAATTGAAATGTGTTATCCTAAGGACAAACTGTTTTTTATAGCTTGTTTATGGAAATCCTAAAGTACTGTACAGACTGTGATGAAATACAGTTTAAAGAGGATGGCTCTTGGGCACCAATGAGATCGAAAAAGGAAGTACAGGAAGTTTCTGCCTCATACAATGGAGTTGATGGTGAGTGGTAGTTAKTCACAAGGGAAGGGTAGTTTCCTTGCTGCCATAAACCATGGTGTTCAATGTTTAAATTAATACATTTTTTAAAACCCTGAGCATTTTAGGGATAGCTCAATAATTACTAAATTGATTTAATGTTCAGAAGTAGATGAATTCCTTTTAAATTTTTCTGATATTAGATTTCAAAGTAATGTAATCTGTGTGTGTGTGTGTGTGTGTGTGTATGTGTATGTATGTATGCTGCTGGGGATTGAACCCAGCCAGGGCCTTATGCATGCAAGGCAAGCACTCTACCAACTGAGCTATATCCCCAGCCCTCAAAGTAATTTAATCTAATAAGCCATTTGTAAAGTCAAACTTGTGAAATAGAATCCTTTAAAATTTTTTAAGACTTCTAATAGAGTAGTAAACATTCCTTTTTCATTTGTGTATATATATACACACATATGTCTGTCTGTATACACCCAAATGAAACAAAAATATACTATTAATGTTTTTGCTGGAAGGAGGTTATGAGTTATTAATGTTAATACTTCCTAAGAATGTCAGGTACTATATAGCTAAACATRTAATACATATAGTTTGAAGCTAGGCATTATGGCACATACTTGTAATCCCAGCAGCTCAGAGAATCCCAACTTTGAGGCCAGACTTAGCAACTTAGCAAGACCCTCTCTCAAAATTTTTAATAAATAATAATAATAAAGGGCTGGGGATATAGCTCAGGGGTAAATTGCCCCTGGATTCAGTTCCTAGTACCACAAAATATTTTATATAAATCATTCAATTGTTTCTTCTCTTTTAGAACTGGTTTTTCAAAATAATCCTTTAGAAAACCAAATAATAAATAGTAGTTTTAAACTTCAAGAGCCTCTGTTGGTTTTCTGCTTTCTGACCCCAACAATGTAGTCAGTATATATTGATATATTAAACCATAGGGACACTGAGGAAAGAAATGAGATGTCATAAGTCTTCTTTGCCTTGTATTTCATTATTTCCATGCAGGATGCTTGAGCTCCACATTGGAACATCAGGTAACTTCTCACAACCAGTCCTCCAATAAAAACAAGAAAGTAGAGGTGATTGATTTAACCATAGACAGTTCCTCTGATGAAGAGGAGGAAGAGCCATCTGCCAAGAGGACCTGTCCTTCCCTGTCTCCCACATCACCACTAAATAATAAAGGGTAAGTGCTGAGACGTTAAAATACAATCATTGTGAAAGTTTAAAGGGATTAAAGACCTACCAAATACAATGATAATGCTTGATTATAGAACTTAGGCTGAAACCAGACACAGTGTTGCATACTTGTAATTTCAGCAACTTAGAAAGCTAAGGCAGGAGGATCATAAGTCTGAGGCCAGCCTTGGCAACTTAGTAAAACCATGTCTCAAGAAGTTAAAAGTAATTTAAAAAAAAAAAAAAGATAGATGGGGGTGTAACTCAGTGGTAGAATACCCTTCATTCAATCCTCATTACCCCTCCCCACACACACCAAAAACACCCTTAGCTTTAATTTTCCCCAGGTGTGTGATATTCTTAAGGGATTAACGTTAAAAGGGTCAGGTCACTTGGGTATAGAATTTATCATAATAAAAGATTATTTTTCTAGTACATAAATGCTCTAAACATTGGTGTACATCAGAATCATTGAGAATTTATCAAAATATGCTCCCATGTCTGAGTCAGGAGTAGGAACTGAGAAAATATGTTTGTAGTTCCCAGCTGCTTCTGATAGTGCACATTTGCTAAAAACAAGAAAATATATGCTGTAAAATTAACCCCAAATTGAATGTTTTTATGAGGCTGGCAAGGAAAGAAGTTAAGGATGACTTAGGTTTGAGTACACAGTATTTTCTGTTTTGCAGACTTGTTTGCCATATTTCCCATTAGTCACATATTAGTAATAATGAACCTTAGTTATACTTCAGTTCAGTTCATGAAACACTGTTATTTACCTATGTAAAACACCCTCTTTCTGGTCATGGATGATAATAAAATGAGTAAGTACAGTCCTAACCTAAAAGAGGGTAACATATAGGGCTGGGGTTGTGGCTCCATGGTAGAGCACTCGCCTAGCATGTGTGAGGCCCTGGRTTCGATCCTCAGCACCACATAAAGATAAGTAAATAAAGGTATTTAAAATTAGTTTTTAAAAAAGAAGAAGACTGTTTAAAAAAAAAAAAACAGGGTAACATTTCTAAGGGATAGTAAAACAAGTAGCAAACTCTAGCTGTACTTTTATTTATTTTTTTAAAAAAGAGAGTGAGAGAGGAGAGAGAGAATTTTTAATATTTATTTTTTAGTTTTTGGCGGACACAGCATCTTTGTTGGTATGTGGTGCTGAGGATCGAACCTGGGCCGCACGCATGCCAAGCGAGCGCGCTACCACTTGAGCCACATCCCCAGCCCCTAGCTGTACTTTTAAACGGCTGTTAGTCTCATAAGCACATAGATGATTCTCAGCAAAAAAAWTTCATGTGTTGCTGAGACATAATTGTAAGCACACCAATAGTGAATCTTGAAATAAATTTTTTATTTTCCTTTTAGAGGAGTATATCAAGAAAAAATATGTAGCATTTTGTAACTGAATAGGAACTCTTCAGAAAATTTTCCATGAAACAATAGCACCTGAAGAGAAAATGCAAGAGAGCGAATGAACTTCCATAAATGGTTATCATTGTTAAGATTTCAAAGTTCAAGAAGAAAATTTTATAAAATTGACACCAGACCAAAGAGCAAGCATTTCTGTGATTGGAGTCCCAAGATATTTTATAAAATTGACACCAGACCAAAGAGCAAGCATTTCTGTGATTGGAGTCCCAAGATATTTTATAAATATCAATCCACAGTCTAACCAAATATGTAATTGGTCCATATCCTCAGGTTCCATGTCCATGAATTCCACCAATCTCAAATTGAAAATTTTGGGGGAAAAGCTGTATTTGTACCAAACACACAGAATTTTTTCCTTTTTCATTCCCAACAGCTATTTACATTGTGTTAGATATTATGAGTAATCTAGAGATGATTTAACATCTTCAGGAGGATATGTTTAGGTTATATGCAAAAAAAAAARAARA